TAAAGAGCATCCTACTAAGGAATGAATGGGTCAACCAGGAAATTAAAGAAGAATTTAAAAAATTCATGGAAACGGGCGCCTGGGTGGCTCAGACGGTTAAGTGGCTGCCTTCGGCTCAGGTCATGATCCTGGGGTCTTGGGATCAAGCCCCACATCCGGCTCCCTGCTCAGCACAAAGCCGGCTTCTCCCTCTCCCTATGCCTGCCGCTCTGTCTACTTGTGCCCTCTATCTCTCTGTCAAATAAATAAATAAAATCTTTAAAAAAAAATCATGGAAACAAATGAAAATGAAAACACAACTGTTCAAAATCTTTGGGATACAGTAAAGGCAGTCCTAAGAGGAAAGTATAGAGCAATACAAGCCTTTCTCAAGAAACAAGAAAGGTCTCAAATATACAACCTAACCCTCCACCTAAAGGAGCTGGAGAAAGAACAGCAAATAAAGCCTAAACCCAGTAGGAGAAGAGAAATAATAAAGATCAGAGCAGAAATCAATGAAATAGAAACCAAAAGAACAGTAGAACAGATCAACAATACTAGGAGCTGGTTCTTTGAAAGAATTAACAAGATTGATAAACCCCTGGCCAGACTTATCAAAAAGAAAAATGACCCAAATCAACAAAATCATGAATGAAAAAGGAGACATCATAACCAACACCAAAGAAATACAAACAATTATAAGAACATATTATGAGCAACTCTATGCCAGCATATTAGATAACCTGGAAGAAATGGATGCATTCCTAGAGATGTATAAACTACCAAAACTGAACCAGGAAGAAATAGAAAACCTGAACAGATCTGTAACCACTAAGGAAATTGAAGCAGTAATCAAAAATCCCCAGGGCCAGAGGCCTTCCCAGGGGAATTCTACCAAACATTTAAAGAAGAATTAATACCTATTCTTCTGAAACTGTTCCAAAAAATAGAAATGGAAGGTAAACTTCCAAACTCATTTTATGAGGCCACCACTACCTTGATGCCAAAACCAGACAAAGACCCCATCAAAAAGGAGAATTACAGACTAATATCCTGGATGAACATGGATGCAAAAATTCTCACCAAAATTCTAGGCAATAGGATACAACAGTACATTAAGAGGATTATTCACCACGACCAAGTGGGATTTATCCCTGGGCTGCAAGGTTGGTTCAACATCTGCAAATCAATCAACGTGATACAATACATTAATAAAAGAAAGAACAAGAATCATATGATCCTCTCAATAGATGCAGAAAAAGCATTTGACAAGGTACAGCATCCTTTCTTGATCAAAACTCTTCAAAGTATAGGGATAGAGCGTACAAACCTCAAGATCATAAAAGCCATCTATGAAAAACTCACAGCGAATATCATTCTCCATGGGGAAAAACTGAGAGCTTTCCCCCTAAGGTCAGGAACACGGCAGGGATGTCCACTATCACCACTGCTATTCAACATAGTATTAGAAGTCCTAGCCACAGCAATCAGACAACAAAAAGAAATAAAAGGCATCCAACTCGGCAAAAAAGAAATCAAACTCTCACTCTTTGCAGATGATATGATACTTTATGTGGAAAACCTAAAAGACTCCACCCCAAAACTTCCAGAACTCATACAGGAATTCAGTCAAGTGGCAGGACATAAAATCAATGCACAGAAATCAGTGGCATTCCTATACACCAACAAGACCGAAAAAAGAGAAATTAAGGAATCGATCCCATTTGCAATTGCACCCCAAACTATAAGATATCTAGGAATAAATCTAACCAAAGAGGCAAAGGATCTGTACCAGAAAACTATAAAATACTCATGAAAGAAATTGAGGAAGACACAAAGAAATGAAAAACGTTCCATGCTCATGGATTGGAAGAACAAATATTGTGAAGATGTCAATGCTACCTAGAGCAATCTACACATTCAATGCAATCCCCATCAAAATACCATCAACATTTTTCAAAGAAATGGAACAAATAATCCTAAAATTTGTATGGAACCAGAAAAGACCCCGAATAGCCAGAGGAATGTTGAAAAAGAAAAGCAAAGCTGGCGGCATCAGAATTCCAGACTTCCAGCTCTATTACAAAGCTGTCATCATCAAGACAGTATGGTACTGGCACAAAAACAGACACATGGATCAATGGAACAGACTAGAGAGCCCAGAAATGGACACTCAACTCTATGGTCAACTAATCTTTGACAAAGCAGGAAAGAATGTCCAATGAAAAAAAGACAGTCTCTTCAACAAATGGTGTTGGGAAATTGGACAGCCACATGCAGAAGAATGAAACTGAACCATTTCCTTACACCACACACAAAAATAGACTCAAAATGGTTGAAAGATCTCAATGTGAGACAGGAGTCCATCCAAATCCTAAAGCAGAACACAGGCAGCAACCTCTTCGACCTCAGCCGCAGCAACTTCTTCCTAAACACACCGCCAAAGGCAAGGGAAGCAAGGGCAAAAATGAACTATTGGGACTTCATCAAGATAAAAAGCTTTTGCACAGCAAAAGAAATAGTCAACAAAACCAAAAGACAACTGACAGAATGGGAGAAGATATTTGCAAATGACATATCAGATAAAGGGCTAGTATCCAAAATCTATAAAGAACTTCTTAAACTCAACACCCAAAGAACAAATGACCCAATCAAGAAATGGGCAGAAGACATGAACAGACATTTTTCCAAAGACATCCAAATGGCCAACAGACACATGAAAAAGTGCTCAACGTCGCTCGGCATCAGGAAAATCCAAATCAAAACCTCAATGAGATATCACCTCACACCAGTCAGAATGGCTAAATTAACAAGTCAGGAAACGACAGATGTTGGCGGGGATGTGGAGAAAGGGGAACCCTCCTACACTGTTGGTGGGAATGCAAGCTGGTGCAGCCACTCTGGAAAACAGTATAGAGGCGCCTCAGAAAGTTGAAAATAGAGCTACCCTACAACCCAGCAATTGCACTACTTGGTATTTACCCCAAAGATACAAATGTAGGGATCCGAAGGGGTACATGCACCCCGATGTTTATAGCAGCAATGTCCACGATAGCCAAACTGTGGAAAGAGCCAAGATGTCCGTCGACAGATAAATGGATAAAGAAGAAGTGGTATATATATACACAATGGAATATTATGCAGCCATCAAAAGGAATGAGATCTTGCCATTTGCAACAATGTGGATGGAAGTAGAGGGTGTTATGCTGAGCGAAATAAGTCAATCAGAGAAAGACATGTATCACATGACCTCACTGATATGAGGAATTGTTAATCTCAGGAAACAAACTGAGGGTTGCTGGAGTGGGGGGTGGGGTGGCAGGGATGGGGTGGCTGGGTGATAGACACTGGGGAGGGTATGTGCTATGGTAAGCGCTGTGAATTGTGCGAGACTGTTGAGTCACAAATCTGTACCTCTGAAACAAATAATACAATATATGCTAAAAAAAAAAAAAGAAGAAGATAGCAGGAGGGGAAGAATGAAGGGGGGAATGGGGGGGGAGACGAACCATGAGAGACGATGGACTCTGAAAAACAAACTGAGGGTTCTAGAGGGGAGGGGGGTGGGAGGATGGGTTAGCCTGGTGGTGGGTATTGAGGAGGGCACATTCTGCATGGAGCACTGGGTGTTATGCACAAACAATGAATCATGGAACACTTCACCTAAAACTAATGATGTAATGTATAGTGATTAGCATAACAATAAAATTTTTTTTAAAAAAGGGAAGCACTCTTGGTCCAAAGGTCCGGCAATGGGGATGAAGGGATGGACGTGCAGCAGGATAAAGCGAGGAGACGCCGCAGTCCCCTGCTATCCGCCACTGTGGAAAACCACAGTGACCTTCCAGAGCAAGTCTCTGCTTCACCTCAGCCCTGCAGACCTCAGGCAAGCTCTCTCTGGGCAAGTCTACCCCAGAGCCATAGAGGGTGAGGTGCTTGGAAACAGAGTCCACGGCCCACTTCGGGAGCAGTCATCCCAACGTGTGGCTGCACAACTCATCCAGGTCTCCCAGAGGGAGTGTAGCCCTGATGGTGGGTCTTTTTTCCTTTTGTAATGCAAGTGCCCCACAAGCCCTGACTGCTAAGCCATCCACTTCAAAGATGGCTATCTGGAATAAACAAGTCACCAGCCACTGGACGAGATAAAGAGCCAGCAGCCCCACACCACCACCCCCTGAGGCTCCTTTGCTTTAGGGATCTTGGTTGGTTTCCATAGGTGACCACTTGGGTGTCCTGTGTTTTCTCCTCCCGCGCTTTCAAGTCCTACTCTCATGTTTTATTTATTTATTTATTTATTTAAGATTTTATTTATTTGAGAGAGAGAGAGACACACAGCGAGAGAGGGAACACAAGCAGGGGGAGTGGGAGAGGGAGAAGCAGGCTCCCCGCTGAGCAGGGAGCCCGATGCGGGGCTCGATCCCAGGACCCTGGGATCATGACCTGAGCCGAAGGCAGATGCTTAACGACTGAGCCACTCAGGCACACCCCCCCACGCTCATGTTTTAAATTCACCAATAAAAGATGGGCCCAAGAAACCCTGGGTCCCCACCCTTGACCCCGATAAAAGCAGAACCCCCAGCCCATGACCTCTCTCTCTCTACTACCCAGGACATCGCTGTGTGCCTCCAGAAGCACCTTGTAAGCTCCAGACTTGTAAGTGACAACCCCTGTCATTTCAAAGTCCCCTGATGGTTACTGCTGAGGGCCTCTTGCAATCCTATTAAGAACCACAAGGGCCATTCCAGCCACATCGCCGCATTATTGAGAGGCCGAGACCTGCACACTACAGTGCCCCCTGCAGGGACAAAGGACAGATCCTAGCTCCCGCCCGAGTCCCCAGTGCGGGCATCGGCACTTGGTACAACCAAGAGGTGGCAGTTAGAGCCTAGTGCCTGGGATGTGCTCCCAGGATGGGGGCAGAGCAGGCCAAGGGCCATGGGACTGGGTGCAGAGAAAGAACAGATTGGACCTGCTCCCTGCAACTCACTAAATCACAAAGTGTAGGAAAGACAGGTACTTACGAATAGAGACTATCAGACAGCGCCTGACTTCATAGTCACATACCCGTACAGTTGAACAGCTGAAGGTGTTGATGACCGAACAATCATGGCATTTCAAATTGTAGGTCCCTGAGAGAAAACAGCAGCATCAGGCTCCAGCGTTTTCCGCCCGTTACCAGCCAGCTACACCCTCCCCTGGCAGGTGACCCCTCCCCCCTGCCTTAAAGGACACGCTGCTATAGGCAGGATTAGCTTCTGGGCAGAAGCCAGGAGTTGCTCCTGTTCCCAGAGACCAAGTGAGGGAACCCTGCGCTCTGCAGATAAGCTTCATCTGTCTAAGAAGCCTGACAGTCCTAGAGGGCCGGTGCCCACCCAGATGTCGCTGGACTCAGCCACTCCTGCCCACTCCAGATGAGGAAGGGCCGCATCTAGAAACCCCCTCCTGACCCTCTCCTAGCTCAGGGACACTTCCAAATCCACCCTGTGCCCACCAATTGCACTGGCGACGGAGGGCTCTGCTGGCTAAGATGACAGAAATTCCACTCAAATTCGTTCTCTGACCCTGGATAACACATACATTCTTATCGCCTCCCAGACAGCCAGGGGGGATACTTACAAGTTGATATATTTTGATTGCTGACCAATGGCCAGCCAACGGCTAGGAGCAAGGCACAGAGAAGCATCATTTCTCGCAGGAACTCGAACCTATGGGTGAGGAGACGCAGGGTGCACGTCAGCAGGCTCCGTGTCTACGGAGCGCCCCTCACAGGACGTGTGTCTGCCGGACCCACGTGAGCAGAGAGCAGGGCTCCTCAGGGAGGGTCAGCACGCACCAGCCACCCGCACGCACGTCTCGGCTCCTCGCCCCACGTGCCCCTGCATCCCCACCCAGCAGGGCCCCAAGCTGCTCCACGCAGGGACGGGGGGGTAGGCCTTTCCCAGCAGGAAGGCTTCGTCACTCCTGCCTTCAGGTTGCGGGAAGTCATCCTGCCTGCTCTCCAACAGGCAGAGTTCCGCCGAGACAGCCAGGCCCTGGGGCCGCCTCCGCCTGGGGCTCACCCAAGGTCCACGCACCCCCAGATGCTTCTCCTTATGTACCCATTGATCTCAAGAGCAACCTGGGGAAAGTGCCAGAACACTGTCCATCTGTGTGTTCCCTGCTCCCACCAGCATCTGGACAAACGTGGGGGAAGGGAAGGTGCCAGAAGCCTCACTTGCACGCGGGCCACAGTGCGCGCCAGGAACGTTCTGCTACCCAGCCCGCCTCTGCGGAATCAGGTGGCCCCGAAGGGCAGGCCACGGAGGGGCTGGGGGCCCCACAGCTGAGCCCAGACCCTGGCCCTCTGCTCCAGGATGGCCCCCAAGGCACCGGGCAGTGCCTGCCTCTGTACTATGTTCCCATGGGGCCCCACCCGCACCCCCAACCCTGTGTCCAGGGCCCTTCGGGAAACCGCCTCCCCTGCCCCAGCAGCTTGTCTCCCTGGACGCCCCGTCTGCCTTCTCAGGGTCAGGCGCAGTCACCAGTGCTCAGGGGGATGCATCTCTGCATGGGGGGGGTGTCCCCTGCCTGGAGGGGGAGCCTGACTGGGTCTCCCTGAGGGGGAGGGAGGCCACCTGCCTGAGAGTGGCGGACACCTGTCTGAAGGGAGAGGTGACAGACCGAGGCTGTGAGCGGGTGCCTGACTGGGGGGAAGCACCCGCCTGAGGTGATGGAGAGTGGGGAAGGGGGGCGGGGGGATGGGGGCCACCTGTCTGAGGGGCGGGGGGGGGAACCACCTTCCTGAGGGGGGTTGGCCACCTGTCTGAGGGGGTGTCCCTGGCTGAACGGGGGGGCCACCTGTCTGAGGGGCCGGGGGGGGGAACCACCTTCCTGAGGGGGGTTGGCCACCTGTCTGAGGGGGTGTCCCTGGCTGAACGGGGGGGCCACCTGTCTGAGGGGCCGGGGGGGGGGGGGACCACCGCCCTGAGGGGGGTTGGCCACCTGTCTGAGGGGGTGTCCCTGGCTGAGGGGCATCCACCTGTGTGTGGGGGACCGTCTTCCTGAGAGGTGGTGGCTGCCCTTTTGAGGGGGAATCCCTGGCTGAACGGGGGGGCCACCAGTCGGGGAGCACCCACCTGATCAGGGGCCACCCGTCTAGGAAGAAGCATCTGCCTGGGAAAGGGGCCGCGGGTCATGGGCGGTGAGCACCCGGCTGACGGGGGGCCGCCTGTCCAAGGGGGAAGTACCTGGCTAAGGGGTTGCTGCCCGTCTGGGGGAAGCACCTTGCTGAGGGGGCTGATGGCCGCCCGTCTGGGGGCGGGATGCGCACTCGGCTGAGCTGCACGCCGCCCTTGGGGGGGGAGCACCTGCCTGAGGGAGGCTGGCCACCAGCTGGAGGGGGGAGCAGCTGGCTGAGGGGAGAGGCCGCCTGACGCGGGGAGCCCCTGGCTGAGGGGCGGGGCCGCCTCGCTGAGGGGAGCACGTGGCTGAGGTGGGGCGGCCGCCTGACTCGGGCAGCCCCGGAGTGAGGGGCGGGGCCGCTTGTCTGGGGGAGTGACCGCTTGTCTAGAGGGGACCACCCTGCTGAAGGGGTGGTGGCCACCTCAAAGGGGGAGGCCGCTATGTGAGGCGGGCCAACTCCCAGTTGGGGGGAGCCCCTGGCTGAGGTGGGGGGGGCCGCCTGTTTGCGCATGCCCCGTTGCCGCAGGGGGAGACGCCCTCCCTGTCGGCGGGGGCCGCCCGCACCCCTGCTGTCCCCACCCTGCGAGGACCCCCCCCCAGCCGGTGCCACCCACCCCTGGCGGTGGGGCCGGCCTGCCTCCCGCCCCACGCCCCGCCGCCGCCGCCCACGACAGCCCCTTCCCACTCCGCCCTGCCGGCTCCCTGAGCCCACGGTCCGCAACGACCCATGACGACCACAGAGAACCTTCTGGAACCCTGGGCTGGCGCGGCCTGAGACCGCGGGCACAGTGGGGTTCGGAGGCACAGCCGCAGCCGGCGAGCAGCAGGACCCTCGCACCACAGGCGCGCTTCCCACAGCAGGAGCACGGCCCCCAGGCTGTCTGCGTGGGCGTGGCCAACTCCCGAGGGTCTCTGCGCGTGCGCGCGCGCCGGTGCGCCTGCGCGCTCAGGTTCTAGGGATTCCCGAAGTTTCGGCAGGCATCGGAGGCCCCGCCCCCACAGAGCCGGGAGGCGCGAAAGGTTCCAGTAGGTTCCGGGGACTTACCTCACAGGCCCAGCCGCGCGGCAGTTCACTGAGAGAAGGTTGGGTGTCTCTGGGAAGGGGGAGGGGAGGGCCGGCGGGGCGGGTTCGCGAGGGTTCTGGGCGTGGCCCGCGGCGGGCCTGGGGTGGGGGGCATCCCTCTGCCCTGGGGTCTCGGCCGCGCCAGGACCCCTCCCAGGACACCCCTCCCCTGGCTCTGCGCCCGCTCCTTTCGGGCCCTTCGTGCCGGCTGACCCTGACGTCCGTTTCTTCGTTTCCGAGAGGGAAGCGAGGGCCTGGGCTGCCCGCCCTCCGGCCCTTCCTAACGAACCCGGGTGGAGCCTGCCTTTCCCTCCGCGGCCCGTGCGCCGTCCGTGTCGGGCTGTGTTGTCGCCTTGTCGTTACCACGCTGTCCCAAGTACTTTCCCTCTTCTGCCGGGAGCGCTGGGGGAGGGGGCTGCGAGTTTGCAAGGGTGTGAATTGGCGAACGCGGCGGTTTCCTCCATTGTCCCTGGGACTCAGTCTTGCTCGGGCCGGTGTGCAGGAAAAGGTGCTCGGACTTTCTCGAGTCCTTTTGGATATGAGCGCTCCATGCCCCCCGCCGCGAGACCCGGCTGCAAGAGCAGGCACTGCGCGGTGCCTGGGGGGTCGCCTGGAGTAGGGCGCCGGGGTCTGGGCTCCGCTGCTGGGGGCCCGCCCCTCACTGCCCACACCTTGGGGCCACCCGATTCTGCGGGGAGGGCACGGGTGGGGGTTGGGCGTGGCACAAGGTTCCTGGGTCACGCTGCAGCCTGTGTGCACGTGAGGCTTCGGGCACCTCCCCCCTCCCCCCACGTTTGTCCGGACGCTGGTAGGAGCAGGGACTGTCTGCGTGGACAACGTTCTGGCACTTTCCCCAAGTTGCTCTTGAGGTGGGAGTCAACGAGTACATAAGGAGCAGCATCTGGGGGCGCAGGGACCTCGGGTGAGCCCCAGGTGGAGGCAGCACCGGGACCTGGCTGCCTTGGCAGAGCACTGCCTGACCGAGAGCCGGCCGGAGGACTTCCTGCAAGGTGAAGTCACGAGGGAGGAAGCCTTCCTGCTGGGAAAGGCCTACCGCCCCAGTGCCCGCGTGGCGCAGCTTGGGGCCCTGCTGGGTGGGATGCAGGTGCAGGTGGGGGGGAGAGGAGCCGAGAGGCGTGTGCAGGTGGCTGGTGCGTGCTGACCCTCCCTGAGGAGCTCTTCTCTCTGCTGATGTGCAGGGCGTGTTGACACTCTCAGTGCCCCAGTGGTATTTAAAAAGGTGTGGAGGTGTAGAACGTGCAGGTAATTATATCAAGAGAGCTTCCTTGCAGTTCCTTTTAACGTATATCTTCGTTTCATTTATTTGGATATTTGAAACTGATGGGAGTTTATACTGCGAACGTGTTGGATATATTTTATTGTAGACTCAACACTAAAAGAAAGTTGAAGTCAGTAGTGGACAAAATGTATGTTACATGTTACGAGCCTTTTCAAAACTATGTTCTGCTGTACTTTGAAAGATAATTCCTCTAGGTACAGAATTCTAGGTTGGCAGGATTTGTCTTCCAACACTTGACATGTTTTATTACAACCCTTTTGCTTGTATGGTTTCTGATGTGAAGTGCACTGTAATTCCCCTTCTTATTCCTTTGTGCGAGTTCCTTAAAGTTTTCTCTTTGAACCGAACACTCGTGGCATTTCAAATGGTAGGTTTGAACATGCCCAGGTGTAGGTAATTTGGCTCTGTGTGTGTGTGTGCTCGCGTGTGTGTCCGTGTGTGTGTATGCGTGCGCATGTGTGTGTGTGTGCTCGCGTGTGTGTCCGTGTGTGTGCGTGCGCGTGTGTGTGTGAGTGTGTGTGCGCGCCTTTGTTCGTTTTGGTCTGGTACTTGTTTTGTTCTCTAAGCTTCCAGAGTCTTCCCAGTGATGTCCGTCCACTAACACTGGTAAGCCCCTAGCCGTGAATATTTCAGGTAATTCTTCTGTGCTATTCTCTCCTCCTTTTGGTCTTTCAACTACCTGTATGTTACTTAAAAAAACACCTTCCTACAGTTCTTGGATATTCCATTCTGTTCTCTCATCATTTTTTGTCTTTGTTTTTTTGGCTGGGGAGATTTATACTGACCTGTCTTCAAGCTCACTGAATCTTTCCACAACTGTGTCTTGAGTCCATTGATGTGCCACCTGCAGCGTTCCTCATCTCCGCCACACTGGTTTTGGCTTCTAGCATTTCCATTTGACTCTCAGAGTTTTGGTCTCTATGCTCACATTGCGTATCTGTTCTCACGTGTCATCTGCTTTTTCCACTGGTGTTCTTCATGTCTGAATCCTAGTCCTGTCCCATCCTGTCCCTCTCTGATGACTGACGTCTCTGTTATATAGGTCTTGTTCTCGTGCTTACTTTCCCTCTTCAAACTGTTTTCTTGGCTTTTGGCACGCCTTGTATTTCTGGTTGAAACCTGGACGTGTGGAGCTGGTTAATAGGAACTGCTGTAAATAGGCTTTGAGCATGAGGATTCATGTTACCTGCCTTGGGAGTGGGACTCTGTGTAATGTTTTCTGTAGCTCTAGTTCCCTTAGGTTTCACATTCTTGAGTGTCCTTGTTTTTGTCTCCTGTTGTAGCTCGCATCTTTCCTGTGCATTGTTCCTAGGACAGAGGGTGTGTTTTGTGGCACTTTCAGTTGCTATGCTTCCAAAAGAAAAAGAAAGGGCTTGGTGGCCAAGTGCTGGGGGCTGGATGTGGACTCTTGTGAGAATGGGAGACTCCCGAGGACTGCTGTTCACACCCAGCCTCCAGCACTTTGTCAAAATTGCATGTAACTGCTCCTACCGGTTTACAGCTCCAGCAGCTTCTGCTCCAGGTAAGCGTGTTTCACGGTGGCCTGGCAGGGTCCACCGGGCTTGCCAGATTTGGAACTGTCACTTCTGTCGTCCTCAGTTCTCCGAGGGGCTACTAAATGTGGTTGGTTTTCAGTTTGGCAAGTGTTTTCTTTTGGGAATGATGGTCCCAAGCTCCTACTCTGTAGGACTAAATGCTTCGGTCTTCCTCCATCTGTTCGGATGAAGCAGAGATAATGGAACTAAAGAATGGGGTAAGAAGAGAGAGGAAAGGAGAACAGGCTCACTGGTTACACGAAATGGCCATTATTAATCATGGTGATGAGCGGGAACCAAAGGGCACCATTGAAAAGTGACAACCGGCAGTAAATAGTTAAGTAGGAAAATGTGGAGAAAGAAAGCAGTTTCAAGAGATCTGAGTATAAGGTAAAACTGAGACAAAAATACAAAATTGAACTATCCAAAGAAATATTAAAAAGAACAGGGACAACTCATCACACAAAGAACCAGCCAACATAATTAATATTACATATTAATATACATAATAATCATAACACACAGAGTGTCTCTGAGGGAGTTTACACCAAACGTACCAATCATTTCAATATAGATCAATGGCTTAACTTACCTATTAACTGGTGTGTGGGCACGTAGGGCCGGGCCTAGGCTCGGTTGCTGTAGTGAGAGGGGTGGGGCGTGGGCGGGGTTGGTGTCAGGCAGCAGGGCCTGGAGTGGTTGGGGTCGGGGTGAGCGTGAGTAGGGCTGGACCTGGAATCTGGTTGGCATGGATGGTGAGGCATAAACTGGATTACCAGACGAGGGGATGGGCCAGTAGGTGTGCACCCTGCCCGAGAGACCACATTGCCTCCCCTGGACCCATGGGGGTGGACACATAGGAAGTCAGGCCTAACCCTGGAGCCACAGAGCTGAGCACGTGGCCTCACTCCTTGTGTCCAGGGCCAGGCACTGCTGGACATGACGATCCTCCTTGCTTTGCTCCTGGTCATGGACCTGCCACGGGTGGAGACAAATGTCACTGTGTCTGGAAAACAAGGTAAGTCTGGGCCCCTCAGCCTCCTGACTGGCAGAAGAAGGCAGGCCAGACCTCATCGGCAGACACGGCGGGGCCACCCGAAATGGACATTGCCACGGCCCCAGGGGCTCTGGGCAGTTGGAAGCACAGGCATCGGGGAGCAGGAGAGGGTCAGGAGAGCAGCCTGTGGATTTGGACACGTAATGGGAGAGCCTGTCGTCTTGGGGCTCCCCCGCCAAGGGCAGGCAGGAGTGGCTGGAATCCTGGTTTCCTCCCTAGCACCCTGCTGTCTCCTCAGTGTCCCCTCATACTGCCTTCCTGGGAGATGTCAGGCTGGGAGCCACGCCTGGCCTGGTCCTCATGGGACCTTCCAAGGCTGTCTCCGAGAACTGGAACAGCGGTGAGAGGGTGACCAGCTTCTCTCCCAGGAGCGGGTCCTGCCCTAATACAGACCCAACAGCGGGCTACTGCACAGGGGTCAGGGCGCAGGGCCTAAGAGTGTCGAGGAGGGTGTAGCTGTTGCTGGAGGAGGTTAGGTGGCCCAGGAAGGTGAGCGGGAAGGGCCCGGGAGAGCAGATGGCAAATCTGTCGAGCCGCCGAATGTGAGATGCCACGTGTGTGTGTGTGTGTGTGTGTGTACGCGCGCACACGCACGCACGCGTGGAGGGTGCTTCTGTGAAAGGTATGGGTGCGCAGGCTGGCGGTGTGGGTGTCCAGGTGCACTGGTGCGTGTCTCTGTGTGTACATGTCCGTGCCGTGAGTCTGCGTGTGGGTGTGTGAGCAAGGCACAGCCCGGGGGAGGAGGAGGGAAGCCCAGGAGAGAAGGCAAAGGACTCGAGACCCACTGGTTTTGTGCTCACTCGGAGGAGGAGGAGGATGGTGGGTGTTCATCTGATAGGGCTGGGGACTGTAACTCTCCACTTTGTTGTTATTCCTCCTTTCAGACATAGCACTGAGGTGTCATGTATGTGAGAGAGAGAAT